GAGCATGTTTGGGCTCTTGTGTGCATTGTTCCACACTGAGTTTGAAGTTGGATGGAAATGTTTGAGAGAGTTTGAAAAGGCTGAGGTGGCTAACTTACAAAGGGTACGTCTAGACTACCGCATTTTGTCGACGGAAGTTTTGTCGACAGATACTGTCGACAAAACTTCCGTCGACAAAGAGCGTCCAGACACATTGAGTTCTGTCGACAAAGCAAGCTGCTTTGTCGACAGAACTCCATAATCTGGACGCAACGTTACAGGCAATAACACCTTCTGTCGACAGAGTTCTGTCGACAGAAGGTGTTATGCCTCGTAAAATGAGGTATACCAGCGTCGACAAAACTGCTGAGTTCTGTTGACGTTATGTCGACAGAACTCAATGGTAGTGTAGACGCTGGTATAGTTTTGTCGACAAAAGTCCACTTTTGTCGACAAAACTAGGTAGTCTAGACACACCCAAAGTAATGGAATAAGAGAGGACATGAGAATAGATTATAAGTGACTGAGCAGTAGAGTGTACACTGAGAATGTATTCTACCTGTCCACTAAGAAAAGAAGCAGGGCATATTTAATGAAACATGGTACACTGGAAACAGATAAAAAAGAATCTGTCCTTCATTCAACATCCAATTAGAGAAAGGAATTCATTGCCACAAGAGGTAGTTGAGGCCATTAGGTAAACAAGAATCAGGAAGAGTTTTGATTTTTACACGGAGAGCGATATTATCTAATTAGAACCTTTATAGTTACATAAATATTTTTGAAAGACCGATACACTGTGTTTCATGGAACAAAACAATCTATAGAAATCTCACCATTTCCACTTAAGCTTACTATTCACACTACAGACCTGCACCTCTGGTTAATCTAGGGTCAAAGTATGTAGTGGTGCTTGTATTATAGGGAACCGCTGTTGGATGCAATGACTCTAAGCAAGATTTAGTGGCCTGAAGAGATAATTAGCTAATCGTGAACTCCCAGGGTGACCTTGGGGCCAAAAGAGCCAATGCGACCCTGGGATGCTACCTAGGGGAAACTCAAGGAGACCTTGCGACCCTTCGGGGGAGGGATAGCTCAGTGGTTTGAGCCTTGGTCTGCTAAACCTAGCGTTGTGAGTTCAATCCTTGCAGCAACCATTCAGGGTTTTGTGGCAAAAATTTGTCAGGGATGGTACTTGGTCCTGCTGTGAAGGCAGGGGACTGGACTTGATGACCTTTCAAGGTCCCTTCCAGTTCTAGGCAATCTCCATTAATTAAGAGAAGTTATTTTACCTGAGCATTTGTCACTGGTGCAACTGCTACTGGAATCCTGTTTCCATGTCTCGGTCCACAATAAAAAGGATAGTTGATAACACTGAAGAGAAAAATCACCAAAATATTAAAAAATTAGAAAACCTGCTTTGTTGTGATCGATTCAATGAGCTCAATTGGTTTAATTCAAGGAAGGTAGTTAAGAAGAAGCAGAACTTGAGAACTGTGTATATGTAAGTACAGATGAAAACATTTTAAAAAAGGCTTTTTGGCTTAGCATACAGAAATGTACATTTAAACAAAACCAGAGAGAGTAATTAATGATTAGAACAATACACCAAGAGTCTTGGTGACTTCTTTATCACTGAAAAGGTTTACATCGAGGTTTGGTGTTTCTCCCTCTGAAAGATCAGCTCTAGGAATATTACTGTGAAAATTGTCTACCCAGGCAGTTAGACAGGTGATCACAATGGTCACTTCTGGTCTTGGAATTCTGGCATGGCTCGTCCTCAGCTTTATTGCAGCCCATTGGAAATGCCGATCTCCCTGAGGAGGCTTTTCAGTGTTCACATTTGCTCCCGTTGCTGTGGGGCTGTAGTAGGGTTGCTCATGAGAACAGGAATGGTCTGGGTGGAAGATGGTATTAGAGAAAACAGACTACAGTGAGGTCCATGGTACTTTACAGTGTGCAGCATTTTTTGTCTTCTTTACACCTCTTTGGTCTGTGCATGAGGCCAGCTGCCCGTTCCCTTGTCACCTGATTACCGGAATCTGTGCCACAGTGATCTGGATACTGCATGGTTGCTCCTACACCCTCCCGCATACCATGCATTCCTTTCAGGTATCCAGAAACACCTGGCTTCCCCAAAGTGTGAATGAGAAAAATGATTTTCTGTCACTTCTTTTTGTCCTCCTCAGAGCACAGTCACATAGAGAGAACAACCCCCTTGCCCTCCCTGAAAGCAATTGTTTTCAACCTTTGAGCTTTCAGCAACTCTCCTCTCAGTTAATGGAGATTGCCTATTTTCTAAAGCTGGAAGGGACCTTGAAAGATCATTGAGTCTAGTCCCCTGCCTTCACAGCAGGACCAAGTACCATCCCTGACAAATTTTTGCCCCAAATGGTCACCCCAAGAATTGAACTCACAACCCTGAGTTTAGCAGGCTAATGCACAAACCACTGAGCTATCCTTCCTTTAAATGAATCAAACTCACCTACCTTGCAAGGGGCAGGGGATGCCTCCAGCTGAACCCACAGTAGACTCGTGGTCAGTTCAAATCAGACCATGTATTCAAATTCCTACATGTTGGTGTAGAATAATCTGAAGGACTCCTAGATTTCACCCATAGCCCTGGTCTAACAAGCCAAGCATCTACACTACCCAAGCCTCTTATTTTGGAAAAAACAGGCTGGTTATTTTGAATAATAACTCCTGTGTTCCTTGAGGAGTAATACTTATTGCAAAACAGTTAATTCAGGGGTTATTATTTCAAAATACTTTCCTAGTGCGGACATTCTCTCTGGCTACGTCTACATTGGCAAGATTTAGTGCCAAAGCAGGTGCTTTTGCACAAAATCTTGCTACCTGTCTACACTGGCCGCAAATACTTGTGCAAGGACATTGACGTTCTAATGTATGAAATTAGTGCTTCTTGCGCAAATACTATGACACTGCCACTCAGGGATAAGTCCTCTTGAGCAAGTGTTCTTGCACAAGAGGCCAGTGTAAACAGGAAACATCAATTTCTTGCGCAAGAAAGCCCGATGGCTAAAATGGTCATCGGAGCTTTCTTGAGCAAGAGAGCATCCACACTGGCACGGATGCTTTTGCGCAAAAGCACATCTTTTGTGCAAAGGCACATGCCAGTGTAGACGCTCTCTTACTCAAATACTCTAACGCAAAAACTCTTGCGTTTAGAGTATTTGCGCAAAATCTTGCCAATGTAGACGTAGTGTCTGTGTTTTAGTTTTGGCAACTGGAGAGTGTTGGTTTGCTTGAGTGCTCAGAGTCTGACTGAAACACCCATGTCTGGGACATTCTCAGACCAGGTTTGAAACTTGGATATTTTAAATCACATGGGCCTCAGTTTTGCTCTCAGGGAAGCCAGTGTCAATACTGAAGGCAGAATGTGAGAGCAGATTGTGGTCAGCATGTGACCCATTATTGTTGTAAGCCCCCGGTAACACAGATCTCCACTGCCGGGGCTTTGGCTGCTCTCTCTACCTGTGCGGTGAAGTTGAGGAATTGGAAAACCACACTGCACAAAAACAGGAAACTACTGCGATGGATAGAAGGACACAGTAGGAAACAAGGGACTGATTCTAAGGACAGATAATGGTCTCAACTTTTCCAGTATATTGTAAATTTAACCTGACAAATCTTTGGTATGTCTAAAAAAAAACCTAAACAATTCCAGTCACTGTGTGGGTGAATTCCTGCCCAGATTTTAACCCTGGAGCCCTTCCTCAGTCCTTACCACTAATTCTTAATGCAAAAACAGGCAACTCACCACAATCCCGCTCAGCAGAGAGAGGAAATCTACTTCCTGCAGAAGCGAGGCAGAGATAAGAGACTCAGCATGTCAATCTCATAGGCCTGACACTCGGCAAGCAGAACAGTCCCCTTTATGATTTCCCTGTTCAGTCCCT